ACCTGGGAACGAGGTTGAGTTGGTTGTGAACTTGAAAAATGGCGGACATTTCACTCGTTTCAAGAGTACGAACTAGGTGAAAAAATAGCTTAAAAAATGGCAAGAACAGCAAAAAGACAACTCCAAGAGCGACATCTGCTATTTGGAGAATATTTGCGGAGCTGAACAACCCTGAACGTGCACTATCGAAGATGAACTTAATATCGATGGATCGATGGAGGTAAGCATGTTTTAGCCACGTTTTTAAACTAGGAATTATTTTAAATGAGTAATAAAACAATTATTGAGTTCGGCTTTCGTGTCATGTGAAGAATTATGGAGATCTCGGAGAGTGTTATCCGCCTCGGCCAACGGCTTCGACCGATAACACCCAGTCCTCGATCTCCATAATTCTTCCGTAAGATACTCAGCCTCATTCATTAATTGTTTTAAAATATTCGACGCCTGCAGGACGCCTGTCTTCATGCTTGTTAAAAAACGTTGGGTCGATTTTCGAGATTCCAAGAACCAAAACATTAAAATTCGAGACTCCGATCCGATAAGATACGAATCAATTTTTAGCGAGCCCGAGATTCCGAGACTTCAAATGCCAAAATTTTCCGAGACCCACGTTTTTCTAGGTACCATTCTATACCCCTTACACTGTCAGTGTCGACACTTATCCGATATGTGACTCTCTTACGTATTTTATCAGAGGCAAATAAAGGGATGTCTCAATAGAATTTTCACAAACTATCAATACAAACAGAACGTCATGCACCGAGATACTTAGCTTCAGTTCGGTAGTTTGCATATCAACAATTTCCCTTGATCATAACTGTGTGATCAAAATTCTTTTTGAAAGCGACTCACTCAACTGAAAATAATAGGAAGCTAGATCAACCATGAAAAAAATTAACAATCGTTTTTTGATGAAAAAAACAAGAGGTCTGCACGTGCATCATATCTTTTATATTTCACATTTCTTTGATTTACATGGAACTTTTATGGAGGACGTAAAGACACTCTTGAACTTGCATGGAGTCCTTCTAAAAGAATTCAGCTCAATGAAAAATTGCCTTCGTTTGACAAATTGAGCTGGCCTGAATAAATGTGATCGAGTTGAAAGAACGCAAAATCATTTTTTTGTTTTTTGGCGACGTTTTCAATACGGTCGTCGTCTAATGATTGCTAATGAGATTGCTAATATTTATAATTACTGACGACTGGAAAAGTCCAGAGGTTTATTTATAAACAAAACAAGAAAAAAATTTAAAGCTGTTTCGTTCATTGTTTCTAAGTTGTCCGGCAACGCAAGAATGTTTTCCCTTAATGTTTACTAATTACAGTGTGATTACTTGTTTATGCATAACGTCACAACCTCAAATAATACAATAGGGACTAACATACATACACGCAAACAAGCTTTAGCTGATTAGAAGCTTACCTTTCTGCCATAAGGCTACCACTCTTTTCTCTCTTTCAACCTGGTAAGTTCGAGCTGAACAATTATTTTACATACCTGAATAAGAAGCGTTATTAAGTTAGCTAAACTTTCAACTATTTTAAAATTCGATCGATAATGTAGAACTTAGAAACGGATGTATGACTTCAACTTTGAACTATCGTATTGTAAACTGACTTTACAATCTTGACAAAAATAATGTGTTGGACTCTTTCAAATCCTTTATTTTAAGCTCTTAGAGAGTCTTAAAATCCGAAGAGCCTGGTTACTTATTTTAGGAAATTATCTTTTCAGTTGTGCTTAAGATGATATATGAGTTGTTCCTTTAATGAGTATGAAAGACGACATATTTAACATCAGGCCAGGTTAAATGACGAGTCAGAAATGTTTAGAATACATGGGACTTTTAGTGAGAAGCATGATAGAAGTAGCTGAGATCGTTAAAGACGAAGTCACCTTTGAATCAATATCAGCCGTCATTTATATGTAACCTGTTTGAAAAATCGAACAAAATGCTTTAATGTTATACATTAACTGATTGTGAATTCAAGCGGTTTTTCAATTAACTTCAAAGTTTCGCAAATGGTATAGCGAGCAGTCATTTACATGTCATGTAATTTTTGCCTCTCTTTTTTCATACCTGTCTCACATATTTACCTCCAGTCACTCGCGTTGAACGTATTGAAAAGATCTTTTTTTTTTTCTTTTGGCTTGAGTAACCCCTGTCCAATATTGCTGGCTTTAACAAAGGTGCACATACCGAAATACTGAACAGTCTATAGGCGTGATTTAATGAACAATTATAGTATTTAGTCATGCCTCCAGTTAGCTACTGAAGCATGGTATCTTTGAGCGTCGTATAAGTGGTTTAATTAAACGTTCAACTTTAAATTCCGAGTTGAGAAAGAACAAAAAAAACAGTGCTATTTTGTTAGAGTTGATTACAAGGGTGTGCTAATTAAATGTCACTAGTCTACGATTCCATTGTTAATCACCATTCATACGAGTGAAAAATTCATTCACAACGACAGATTACTTTCAGTCTGACAAGAACTATTAAAAACTGCACTACACGAAAGTAATCTTGTGGCCGTCTTCGATTCAAATGAAAGCCCTTAGTGCACCAAACATTTCAAGTTTGGGAGAGCTACAGAAGAATAGGCAGTTAAAAGTTCTTGGAAAGCTCCTGCGTCTGATTAGCTTAAGATGACTGATTTAAAATGTCGTGCGTCTGTGACCACATGAATCAAAACATTCACGTACATCCAAAGCGACTTCATTTTTTATTTAACTCTTTATTAGAAAACATAAACATTGTTTTTTTTTTCTGAAATTGAGCCCAACTATTAATGATAATGCCAGTCTGCGCGCGCAACCTACACGTTAGATAATTCAGTTATCTGCTAATAGACAACTTAGTAATTAGTAGGGTGCACTTCAAATAATAATGATAGAACACTTTATTATTTCTCCCATCGTGCCTTATCAATGTCTTTGATCAATTGAACACCGGGAGAATAAACGTTTTAAATGTATCAAACAATGTGTTACTATTCTGATGAGTTTATATCACGTAAATAAAAATTTCTAACATTGGCTTAGCTTTGCTTTAAAAGGGTGATGTAACATACAGCAGTTTTATGGCATAACAATCAGAGAGGCCTAGCGATGGGAAACTCAGTAGATTGCTGTTATAACACCCGACAATACAACCAGTGTTATTTCCCATGCATTCGGACTTGTTCGTACACCAGTCGCCGAGTGTGGTACAATTACGATGGACTGGAGAGTGTTCAGCCCTTGATTGACGTCTTCAAACCCGAAGGGAGAGTGATTCACAAGTTTCCTACAACGCTGGTGGACATAACTGAGGATCATGAAATAGCTAAGGCGTTGGCGTCAGGTATTCAGTTAAACAGATTAAAATAGAGAATTTAGGGTCCTGTTTATATGGAAAAAACTTGTCCCGAGTAGGAAGGTTACCTTCCCACCTGAGTCAACTTTAACCCTTTCACTGCCAGAGTGTTTGATGGAGTTTTGTAAGGTGACTCTAACTTTTGATTTCGTGGACGAAGTCCTATGATGTGACCATTTAAATGAAAGCTCTCTGCCTGTACTTTCACCTGCTGCTATTTTTTTCTCACAATTTTCAAAAATGAAATTTGGAAATTTGGTCGAAACTTGCCTTTGGCCACATTTGGCAGTGAAAGGGTTAATTAGCGAGCGTTTATATGAGTAGAAAGTTGACCCGAGCCAATAACGCTTACGCATGCGCTGAGTGTATCGCCTTGACTTGGTTGACGCAGCTGGGAGAGCCAAAGTATGGAAAAACGTTGGCCCGGCTAGGAAGATGACCAAGCTGAGCGAGTCACCCATCTCACAAGGCGAACGTTTGGTTCTCATGTAGCCTGCGTAGCATGGCAGTTTTGTCGGGAGCACGACACAGTGAGCGGTGAAGCCGCAAAAACGCGCGCTCATGATGTTAAAGGTTTTCTGTTTCTCATGCAAACTAATTGAAGACAGTACCGTACCTCTCCTTCATAAAAAGGTGCCGCGACATTTTCTTTACCTTCTTCGGTTTTCCTCATACATTTATTAAGATCCTATGTATTAGTCCGATCCTGAAAATCGAACCCACGACCTGCCTCTGTCAGCGCTTCATCACTTGAGTTAACGCTATTGCCGTTTAAAAAAATATTCCGTGATTTGTCTTTATTTCATGTTGATTTCAAAAAGCCAAAAGAAGTTTCTGTTTTGAATGCGCAGGCCTGGATCCACCGGGACAACTAGCTGCCATCTGTCGCTTCGCCAGTAACTATGGATACCGAATTCGCGCCGTAGGAACCGGATCCTCGTGGTCTCGTCTGACCAGCACACGCGACATTCTGATTGACATGACGAATCTGAATCGTATTTTAACTCGTAAGCCAGCGAACCGACGAGAAAATCTACAGAAGGAATACGTGGATATCGAAGTAGAAGGAGGCATGCAGGTTTATCGATTTGTTGAGAAGCTTGACAAGGCCTATGGGCTTGGGCTCCCGATGATGGGAAATTATGCCGGGCAGACAGTTGCCGGGGTAGCTTCTACATCCACACATGGATCCGGATATTTTTCTGGGACTATGGTAGGTGCTACTGCTTAGAAAGGTGTCGAAAGGCCTGATTACATTGGACAGAGAAAGGGTTCGTGTTGTGTAAAAAACGATACCCATACAATGCATTTTCAAGTTTAATCAACTTTATGATTATTTAATACTTATTTAATTGACTAGTGTACTTTGCACGTTATTTAACGCATTACATTTTTTAGACTGTTTTCCCACTCATATGTATACCTTGTCAGTAACTGTACTCAAATTGTTGGTGGCCCCTCCTAAAATGTTCTACAATTGGTATAGTATTTAATGGAGCAGAAACCAATTGTGAAACTGCACACATTTTATCCAACTGATGGACAGTTACGACTTATAACAATTTGCAATAACAATTTGCCGTCTGTCCCCTTTGAATTGAATACGTTACATATGAGAATGATCAATGTTTTATTAGTTATTGAAACTTCCGGCCCCTTGGAATTTTCTGCTAACGTATATTGAGAAATCAAAATGGTAAGGCAACCTCTTAGAGTATCCAGGGAGATACCGAAAGTCATTCTCATGAACTGTTTTGAGGAATCCTTTATCCTATGCACACTGAGGAACACGCCCATATCGAGTCTTTGTCAAAATTCTTTGACCAGCAGTTACAGAAATAACTAGAAGTTGTTTACGCCGTGATTTAGACAAGGCTAAACGAGTTTCTTGGTCACGCATCGCACTCGGCTACATCTACCGCTACCCCTGGGTCGTAACGTCTATTATAATGAGCTAGCTTAAACGTACCAGACAACGCAGGGGTTATAGTTTAGCGCAAAGCGAGAAAACTATGTCCAGCCAAACGCTTCCTTCGATTAAATGATGGTACGCTCAGCTTTAATAAAAATAAGTAACTAATAAGTGAATATATACCTCCACATGTCGTATGTTTATTTCTTTTTTTACGCAGTCGACTTTAGTCGTTGGTTTCCATTTAATCATCTCGAATGGCATTCAGGTTAAACTGACCAGAGGAGACGAAACATTTGACCAATGCCAAGAAAAAATCAAGCGTGCGCAGTACGGCGGTAGCCCAGTAGAGCTCAAAAGCACCGATGTGTTTCGCGCAGTGGCTGTTGGATTGGGCTCCCTGGGCATCATCTACTCCATCACCTACCGTTGTATCCCTGTTTATAATATTGAAGAGGAAAGAACTGTTGTCCAAATCCCCTGGCCAGGTCAGAAGGCGTTTCATGTCCAGCATAAATTTGAGGCAATCCTGCGGAACCGCACAGAAGGGGAGTTTTTCTCAGTGTTTGTTAACCCGTATCCTGAGCCGAAGAGGTAATAATTCGCGATATCATTACCCTGCTATACAGCTGAACCTTCACTATATAAACGGCCACCCTCGAGGTACCTTCAAGTAGCCGCTTAATAGAAGTTGGCTGCTCATGATCAATAGAGGTTCGTCATAAATTAGCAAAACATGAGCATAATCTTTGGAAGAAGCATCACTTTATTTTGAAACAAACGCGCGACAGGAGTAGCATTACTCGTCCACAATCCGTCGTCAACTTCGATCTCAGATTGTACTTTCCTCCATTTTATTCTTCAAATAAAGCCAAACTATTGGATAGAGGTGATAACAATAGGGGAACTCTCGTTGGGACGGTAATTAAAAAGGTGGCCGCGGCCGCTTTATAGAGGTTTAAGTACCCATTCTTTCGGGATTTTATCACTGGCCACTTAATGGAGGTTCAACTGCAGTTAAGTAGTAAATACAATCAAAACTTACTGAAGACACTACAAAACACGTTTTATGGAGGACGTGAAAGTACAACGAAGAATTAAGAATTCAACTCCAAGAAAAAAAGCCCACGTTTGAAAAATAGAGCGGGTCCAAATAGATGCAATAAAAGTTTCAAACGACGCAAATCCATATTTTGAGCGATGTTTTCAACGCCGTAGTCGTCATCGTCGTTGCTTAAGCTACTTATTACTGAACACACGCACGAAAAAAAAGGACTTCGTTTGCTACAATTATTTATTTTTCTTTAGATATTTGTACGCAGCATACCTAAAAGGAAAGAAAAGCACCCGCAGCCCAACATGCTGTGCCTGTTGCTCTTGGTGGTGTTGTAAGGGTGGCAGAGGATGCGCAGAAGTTGGCTGTATGCAGACAGACTGTACAGCGTCTTGCCTTCAGACGTGTGCTTCATGTTGCCCAACACGAATTCCAGATATCACGAACTTTGGCGTTTCTCAATTTTCTCAAAAACATCCTTACGTACAGAAATGGTACAATGTTTTGCAGTTCACCAAAGGCAACATGCAGTGAGTATTTTAATTTTCATCTAGTTGAAGAAAACAGCTGACAGAAAACAAAAGAAATCGCTGGTGAAAAGAGGCTTTTTGGTAATTCATTTCTAGAATTTTTTGAGCTGCATCACAAAAGTGGACCATTCGGCTTCAACCCCCTTCTTTAACCGATGCGGAAAAAGGTGGCAGGATGGAGTATCGAAATCCTACAGCCAATTCCCTGGCTAGTAATAAAATCGCCAATTGATTTTTAGGAGAATGATCAGTAGTAACTGGCGGAGGATTTTAGGGGGGATCGCTGAAAACTTTGGACCACTCAAATTTGCTTGGAAAATGAAGACATAGGCGGGGGGATCGCGAAAGTCATCAAAAGTTTATTAGGGGATCACTGCAGTGAAGTAACATTCAAAGGGAGATCGGCTAAATTTCACCTTGTTTAGCCCCAAATCCTCCACCCCACCCCCATTATTTTTCTGGAAAAACAGCAAGGGAAAAAGGGTTAAATTTCGGCACAGGAAATTGTTGGTATTAACATGGTCGCTGTTCCATTGTTTTGTACACTGAAGGTGATGTCACAGGGGACGATTCGCAACGACGTGTTTTAGCAAAACACAGCGCTGCAATGTTGGAACAATGCAGTTGTAACCATTCGAAACCATGTTGCAACAATGCTGCAACGCTGTGTTGCGCTAAAAATCGTCGTTGCGAATCGTCTCGCGTGTAACATTACCTTAACATGGTCGCCGTGACAGCTTCAAAGTTAGCGGTTCAGTTGAGATAATCGCCATATTCCTCTTCCGTTACAGCATTCGTACGGCTGAATTTTGCATTCCATTGGCACATTTAGACCAAGCTTTGGGTGAAGTCATTGAAATAGCCAATCAATATGCAAAGAAGTTCAAACAGTATTCTTTGTTACCAATTTACGTTCGATTTGTGAAGACAGACGACCTGTACCTTAGTCCGGCGAACAGCAAATGTGCAGTGGATGGAAATAACAATGACCATGCCTGCTATATAGAGGTACAAATGTTAAATAAACCTAAAATGATAATGGAAGCGACAACGATAACGGTAACGATAACGACAACGGAACCGGTAACGATAATGATAACTTACGGTAACAGTAGGGGCAATGGTATTGATAACGATAACGAGAACGGTATCGTTACGATAATGATAACGGTAACGGTAACAGTAAGGGCAATGGTATTGATAACGATAACGACAACGGTATCGTTACGATAATGATAACGGTAACGGTAACAGTAAGGGCAATGGCTTGATAACGATAACGTCAACGGTTTTTTACGATAATGATAACGGTAACAGTAAGGGCAATGGTATTGATAACGATAACGACAACGGTAACGGTAACGATAATGATAACGGTAACGGTAACAGTAAGGGCAATGGTATTGATAACGATAACGACAACGGTAACGATGACGAAAAGGATAATTGTTGGTTTTCACATGACGTCACTAAAATTCAAACTACAAAACTATCGATCCTACTGAGATTTTACTTTCATGGTGTATTAGGGCAGCTGAAAACTAATTTTCAAACAAATTTTCGCTTCAAAAGGGTTCTTGGTTTTGAAAGAGTACGCTTGAATTTCTAAGCTTTTGCGTGACGCAGGTTTGCACGACGGCCGAGAGAGCTGCCATTTAGGTTTAAAAAGTGACTTTTGTCGAGGAATGAAGCTATCTAAACAGTTCAAGTATTAGAAAAAGTATTACTTTAACGTTTATGGGTTCCTCTAGGAGTAAATTCATGCTTTTGTAGCAAAATTCGGTAACAGATGTTTCTGTTGGTTTCCGTCCGCCATGTTGGAGCTCATCCCGATGAGCTCTAGCATGGCGCCTCCATACAAAGCTCTATAAATTTGGGTAAAACATTTCATCGGATATCTCGTATACGTTTTATTCCTTCGACCCAAATCTTGGCGACGGTGTTGGTATATTTACCTCCTTTCATTTCCCAGATTCTGGACTTTATCTGTGGAACGATTTTGATTTTGATTTTGATCTATTTTGAATGGCGTGACACTGAAAACCAGCAATAATAATGACAATGATAACCAAGAGCAAGACGTTATGAACTCTGTATAAGAACATAGTTTTTAGGGGTTTGAATGTTCAGCTCTTTTTGTCTAACAAATAAATAAACACAATTGTGGGGGATGGTCGTGGAGGGTATAAGTTTTATGAAGGGAAAGCGAGAACGAATTAAGGGTGACAGTTATAGCCTTGCACGAGAAAGCTTTTTCCTGTAAGGATTCACTGAGGATTACATTTTTTTGTAGGTTTTTCATTCCCGGAAAGGCTGTTATACGTCCCGTCGTCCAATTTAAGTCCAACCACGGTAATGGAAATCTTCATTGCCAATTAATTTCTCTCCTAAATTTTCAGATCCCCTTTCTACCAGGAGCATTCGGTATCGAAGAATATCACAAAAACATCGAGGACAAACTGTTCACAAAGTATAAGGCTCGACCACACTGGGGCAAAAATCATCACCTTACGACAGGCAGAATTTATGAGTTGTACCCAGATCTTGAAGACTGGAAAAAGGTTTTTAGACTTTTCAACGCGACGGGTATTTTCTGTAATGAATTCACACACAATGTAGGGTTTGACACATGCATTGCGGACCTATTGAAACTTAGGGCCGGAAATGACACTGGGATTGTTAATGATGGGCTTGCGGAGGACGACGTCATTACGTTGCAGCCCACTGCTTAGAACGTTTTACACATATATACTCATTGTTAAAGTTAATTGCAGTGGAACCATCATTCAGGGGACACCCTCGGGACCAACGCAGATGTCCCCTAAATAGGTCTTCCCTGAATGGACGTTGGGCTGGGGATTGTTAATAGTTAAACAACGAGTATATAATATTTTTCTTATACTCTACCTGTGACTGCAGATATTGCTTCAAGCAGGTAGATAATGTATAAAAAAATCATGATTAACTTATCTCTGCGATGTTGTTAGGTTAATTCCCACAAGTGCAGCGCAGCGCAGCGATTTGAGAGAGACAGTTCATGTTTTGAAAGCTGTCGCCATTGTGACTTAAGTAAACACTAAAACTTAACAATGATTTTTGTGGTCAGTCTCCTTTTGACGGCTAAAGTGTACCTTGAATGGAGATTAGGGTTTCGGGACCCAGGAAAAGTGTCCCTTTCCCCTGAATAGAAGTGTCCCTTCCACAGAGGAAACAAATACAAAGATTACGTGAACATTTTCCCGGGGCCAAATTTTGCGTCCCTATAAATAGAGGTGTCCCTTGAACAGAGATGTCCCAAAGGAGAAGTTCCCTGTACCATTATGTTGGATGAAGAGGCTACTTTTTAAAGGACACCATGTGTAAAGGACGTCAACGAGGGTGCGCGTTTGTTGGGCAAGGAACAAGATGAAGAGTTTACTAATAGTCCCAAGCACAAATTGCGAAAGATTTTGAGAACTCAGTTCCTGGTTATAAACTGATTTCAAAGGACGGACAAGAAATGACCAATTACAGTAAGTGAGATCAGTATACAGAAAGTAAATACCAGGCTAACACTTTTTTTTAAAATTATTTAATTGTTTATCATTTGGCTAGCATTATACGTAAATTATATATCATTATGGGGCTTTGTTACCATCATTTTTGCTCATCACAAGTCGTGTGCTTTAAAGTGCTCCCCATCAAAATTTCGCTATATTCACCAAAAAAGGAAGCTCCACTGTCAATCGCTCATTTTTTGGTTCGCTCGCGAGCCTCAGTGCACCACTGAATAGATGAATTTCAATGGTCTTCCCGGAGTCACGTTTGAGAAATTGCCAACTTGAATCTTACCGTTAGCGTTTGCAGTGAAAGCAACTCTAAATCTCATTAATTCTGGTTGGTTAATCATCGATTGCTTCTATTTTACATTAATTTTGGGGGGTGGTTTTTGTTTTTTTCCATTTTCTTTTTCTCTCTGAACAAGTTTAGTTTAATTGCGATATATTAACATTTTTGAGGAACTTCACTGAAATAAGTTAGGAAATCTATAGCAGATTTACACCACCCATCGAGGGAAGGTGACAGCAATTTTTCCACCAGAGAGGATTTTTAAACCTTATTGTGTGAAGAGACTTCACATAATACCTGGAATAATTTAGATTCAAATTGTTTAAGGTGGACGTTTTTCTGTTACACAAGTTTTCTTCACATGCTACATGTATGAAATAATCTTAATCAGTACCACAATACCGAAGTTGGCAAGCTGGTGTGCCGCTGAGTTTGTACACAAAATAGGAACCGCAATTCCTGACAGAGATTGTAGTGGACCAATTACAGCAGTTCCTGCTCCAATGAAAACAAACCTTCCTTAAGACTTCGCCGTCTTCCACCTGCGGATTTGTACCATTTATCCAACCAGGAGAGTGAGTGCCGCACCTGTGTGTAGCGGGACACGAAGTAGGCATTCTTGTCCCGGCGGCACCTTCAAAACGCTTCCACCCTGGAGCAATTTGGCTGTCACAGTTGAATGTTTTGTCAAAGACATAATTCACATTCCTGCTAGCATTGAGTAGCCTTGAATAGATTTGACATTCTACGAGGAAAAATGCTTGTTCAGCAAATTCTCTGCGCATAAAAAGACGATTGTTCCACACAAAAGCTTTTGACTAGCATGCGAGCAAGCTCTCCTATTTGGGCGAGTGAAGCGAGGAAAGGAGGCTCACATTGTTGGCCCAACTAGGAAAGCTTGCTCGCAGGCTAGGTTTTGACCGATCATTTATTAATAAAATCACAGCCGTTCTATCTTCTGTTCTTTCCGCAAAGTTGGACACAAAATCACAATTTCCCAATTTGGTACAACTGTGGCTTAAAGCATCTTTGTAAAGCGTGATCTACCAGATAAAACACAACCCGCCTAAACTTCCATCATTTTACAATGTCTGTGCAAAATTTTTCTGATCTGAATAGCCTCAAAAACAGCCGAGATATAAACGTTTTAAAAGATGTAGGGCAAGCAAAATTGTGCGTTATGAAATTATTCATAGATAGGTGTCCCCTGAGGTTGACGGCTACGTCACTCTTTGCTCCTTTCTGCTAGAATTTTGGAGTAATTCTCATAGGGGGGCTTATATTAGACAGGATTGGAGAGGGGCATTTGATGCCATTTTAACAGCGAGTTCGATTTCGTCTATTAAAAAATTAGGTAACAAGATGATTAGACTTGCCTTCAGTGTATAGCCCGCAGGTTGTTTTTCCATCTCCAAGGTACTCATTGTTACATGAACAGCTGTATGAGCCAACACTGTTCAGACAGAGTGCGAGGTTTGGAAGGCAGTCGTGTGTTCCTTGGGTGCACTCGTCGATGTCTTTGAATTGAAAATTTTTGAAAAAACATAATAGAATCGTTTCAGTTTGTACATATTTGCACTAACTCCTTTATAAGCTACAACAATAATTAACAAGTAATGGATCAGGTTTAATCCCACTGATAAATTAATATTGACCCCAAAAAATATTTCCTTTCTTTTTATCGTTGCTTAACCACGCTTCTCTCGCTGATATTAATAGGAGACTTAAGGACGATTTGGGACATGACTGATTTACTACCCTTGTAAAGCTGTGATCTCGTTTTTTTTCATTGAAATCGCAGACGGGTGAAGAAAAATGGCATTCATCAATATCTTTAAACGAAAACAACAACATTGATCATTTGGTATTCAGCGGAAACCCTTTGATACGTACGGTCACCAATGGGTAAAAAAATTGGCCGTAATCTAGCGAGGGTGTATGACGCCCATGGTCTTGAAAGCTTGCCCCTATGTGAGGATGACACAAACGAAAACTTATACCCTATTTAAGGCTCGAACCCGAAAAATGACACCCTATTCACGAAAACAACGGCAACAAACGCAAAAAAAAAAACAGTAAGAATTTAACTACAACACAAACCTTCAAACCTTTCCTACTGCTTAACGGGATATTTCAAGTTTTACAGATGATTTGTTTCTCATCTATCTGGGCGTTATCGCATTTGATATTTGCTGACATAATAACGGTACACTATCTGAAGTTATCAATACATGAAAATCATATATGACTGGGAAGTGAAGAATTATATGAATGAAGATCATTGCAGTTATATACGCAACTTTTGCGGCTGCGAAAAGAAAGCCTGAACAAAAATCAGGCTTGTACGGGATTCGAACCCTTGACCTCTGCGATACCGGTGCTCCGATGATCTTCATTCATATAATTCTACACTCCGCAGTTCAAATATATGATTTTCATATATTTATAATTTCATCATCATCCTTTCACGGGTTTATAACGAACCAATTCAACGACCTGCTCCAAGTTGGCTTGTTAGCTTAATTGGTAGAGGGCTGCACCGGTATCGCAGTGGTCAAGGGTTCGAATCCTGTACAAGCATGAATTTTTTTTCAGGTTTTCTTTTCGCAACTGCAAAAGTTGCGTATATAACTGGGATGATCTTCATACATATAATTGGTACACTATCTGTTAGGATCACAGCCGGAACACAACGCCAACAACAGCAAAAACGATAGTCTAAGATCTTTTAAGGATGGAGACCCTCAAAAACCTTGCTATTGGGCGGCACATACCTATTGTACTTTTCTTCTGATTTATTTTCTACTCACCGCTGCAGGTTATTCCGTCACCGGAAAACCCTGATTTGCAAGTACATTGGTAACTGTCTTGAGTTTTAGTGCAGTCGGCAGAGTCATCGCAAATGATTGACAAAGTGCGGCACTCGTCGACCTCTAAGAAAAACAAAGACCGCNTAGAGGGCTGCACCGGTATCGCAGTGGTCAAGGGTTCGAATCCTGTACAAGCATGAATTTTTTTTCAGGTTTTCTTTTCGCAACTGCAAAAGTTGCGTATATAACTGGGATGATCTTCATACATATAATTGGTACACTATCTGTTAGGATCACAGCCGGAACACAACGCCAACAACAGCAAAAACGATAGTCTAAGATCTTTTAAGGATGGAGACCCTCAAAAACCTTGCTATTGGGCGGCACATACCTATTGTACTTTTCTTCTGATTTATTTTCTACTCACCGCTGCAGGTTATTCCGTCACCGGAAAACCCTGATTTGCAAGTACATTGGTAACTGTCTTGAGTTTTAGTGCAGTCGGCAGAGTCATCGCAAATGATTGACAAAGTGCGGCACTCGTCGACCTCTAAGAAAAACAAAGACCGCGAATAATTATCTTTTCGATTCGCTTCATCTTGATCGACTTAATTAACAGTTCGTCCATTAGTCCAACATTAACTGATTACAGTATAGTATAAAAGTTTCCATTGAGTTGTCATAGCAACTTATTGATGCCCTTACCAATTTGCTTGCAACCTTATTTCTCGGCGTTAGAAGTTTTGTTTGCAAAATAGTTCGTTCGTATTTGGAGGTTACCACGTGTTCCTGCAGTATAGCTGCCTCATTTTTTTGGTAAGTTGGAGCAATTTAACCTTTAAGAACTTTTTCGAGATATTTTGGGATGAATTTTTTACAAGGGAGAATCAGCTTTTCTCCTTTGGTTATTATGGTTAGAAATACGGCTAAAACTGAAGAAACTTGATGACTGGCCGTTATCGATCTGTGGAAAGCGAGGCCCTTTAGAAAATAATGCAATTTCACCTCATGGTAGTTTCCTTCTATTTGAAAACGTCTGGGATTATTAAAAATTATATCGTGATTTGTCAGTGGCGAGCAGATCATAATTCATCTGCGAGACTCTGACAAATCACGATATTTTGCGATAAGCGAGTCCAATAATTGTTTTATCATTCGGTCACCGAGTTTGTTTTTCACACAACAGCGATCGCAAGAGGGAGAAAAGCGTTGGTTTCATTATTTTACGCATGAGCAGAATATTAGTTGCTGCCAAACGCCAAAGCCAAACACAGTTGGACGACATTGCGCAAGAGCAGACCATTATTTCCAGGCAGTTATTTGCAGACCACGTGGTGGGCTCTCGGCCAATAAGAAAAATTTGCTTCGAATGATAAAAGATTATCAGGGTACCTGTAACCGATTGCTAAAAAAAAAATGCATTGCCTTTCATTATGCATTTTTACCAACTGAAGACTTGAACATCTGTTTAATGAACTGGCGAAGTCATTTTGAAATAATGATTAACTGAACTTGCCTTCTTTTTCCATGTCACAATAAGCTAGACGAGTGGTTCCGGATTTCAAGTTGTTATATAACCAGTATTTGGCACTGACTGTTGACTGCCCTTCACTCGCCTTAATTTCTTTACATGTTTCAACTGGAAGATCCTCAATTGAACCTAAAGGGACTAAGAAACACCAAAACCCACTGCTGTTAATAAAATTTATTTCTGAAAGAAAATAAATGGTTTTATGCGTAATGTGACTGATCAATGTTATTTCTCCAGCTAGCGTTTACAATTGCTTCATTTACCGCGAGATAGGAAACTACAGACTTTTATTCGCAAAGTACAGATTTTTCATTTCGAAAAAATTAATAAATTAAATCAATATTGCACTTTATAATTATTATTTAAAGGCTAACATGAAGCATTAAGACCTTTTCAGAGTTACTGCACTGAGTTTGTTTATATCAGCTCACCTCGATTAGCGTCTCTTCGAATGTAAAACCTGTCGGGGTTTTGAATAAAGTCGTTGGGTTTCGCTTCCTTGGTGCGATCATTAAACTCGCACATATGAAGAGAGATGACGAAATTAAAACTCTGGCATCGATCGTC